TGAGGAAAAAAAATTATAAATCAATTTTTATTTTGGTCATGAAATAAAAATATAAAAAGAAATTAGATAATGGGTTCGGAAGTGATATAGATAGTACATATCAGTCTCAATTCATCTTATTAAATATTTATATCTAAATTTAAAAACTAATATGTACTACTCCATTCATTTTTAGTAATTTTAGTTTAATTTTTTTGACTTTTTAAACATGAATTTTAGATAAAAATTTAACATATTATATAAATGATAATTAAAAAAAATTAATTAAATAAAAATACTCACAAGAATTACATCGAGAGAAAACAAATTTTCAATTGTTGATCATATAAGTTATTAAATTTTTATTTAAAATTTATGTTTGAAAACAAAAAAGTCAAACTAGGTCTACTAAAAATGAATAGATGAAGTATTTAATAAGGTTGATTTTGACTTTTTATATTCATGATTTAATTGATTTTAAAATGCATTTAATACGGTGAATTTTTAAATTTTGAATTAAGTTTTAATTACGAAAAATTACAATTTAGCCACTTGTGATTTGAGATAAATGCACATGAAAATTCAAGATTTTAAAATGTGTGTATAGCACACTTGTAGTTTTGAATATGTAGACAAAAATCCAAAATATTAAAATGTGTACATAAACACATGAGGTTTACACTCTATGCAAAAATCACTTGAACGTTCTTAAAGTCTTGTAACTTAAAAGAATAAAAGAAAATAAAAATAAAGGTATTTAGGACAATTTCATATATGGTTTCAAGTGGTTATATTTACTTAATACAAATCTAAAGTTTTCATTAAATTTCAAAGTTTTTGCATGCACCTACATCAAATCACAAATATATTATATGTCACATTTTAAAATTTTGAGTCTTTATATGCACCAACTTTAAATCACAAATAACTAAAATGTAATTTTTCCTTTTAATTAAATAAAAGACATTATTTAAAAATAAAACTCCAATATTTTTTTAGAAGTTAGAGATTGATATACTAAAATTAATATATGCTTTAGTTTTTAGGTTTTGATAGAGATGAGGATAAGGAAAGT